TGCCCTAGGGATCTGTTCTATTTCTAATATTAATAAAAATACGAGTAAAAACAACGAGTATCAAAACGCAAAAGAACAATGAGCACTATTTTTTTGAAAAAAATTTCATGACACATTGAATGACACATAAAAAAAGGTTTTGTGTGCCTCTTGGCGGCCATTTTAATTCAAGTTTGACAGCATCTTGGATAGTTCAATTAGATAAAAGTTCCCTAACTTCTAACCTAATTATGTGAATAAAATAAAAGTTCCCTGATTTCTAACCTAATTATCAAGGGTGTGAAATGAATTAAATTAGCCTCTATTAATTTAATAATAAAATAATTGAGGAATCACACATATCTTAACCTACCTATATCTTACGTATAACTAAGCATTTGACTATCTTACAGTTAACATTTCACCCAAGTAATAACCCTTGATAATAATATTGTTATACAATTTGTTATTGTATCTTAAAAATTCAGCTATGTAATCACTGCTTCGCTCCACACACACATGCTTCGAATATAATTCTTTCCCGCAACGGTACCTATCAGTTACCTGACATCTGGGTTAGTCATAGAACGTGAGTATTCAGAAGATTATCCTTGATTTTGAATAAATTATTACAACCACATGGGATCTGGTTCAGTCGACACATTAGTTTGAAGTTCAGTATTTATCTACGAAAACATAAATTTTGCCTTTATATTTGTCAATTTTCGGTAACAGCATTAATAATCTTAAAGCTATAAAATTCGATACTTTTCTGGCTTTCAAGTGATTTTTACCCTCGAACAAAGTAGGTCGATCGCAGAACTCCATTTGTATTTGTAAATCCATTTAGGGTCACATTTCAACTATCTGTAAAAATAAAACTTTTTTCCCACGAAAGATAAACTTGAACCGAGATTATGAATTTACTATTGATTTTGTTACAAATTACCCTCCCCTCAAGGAACCACCCTTTGGGTCCCACTTAAGAAGCCCATTGGCTACCCCTTAGTACCGGGCTTGCGAGAATCGACAAAGTCGAAGATCTCCTACCCTCTGGTTTCTTGTTGTTTTCCCATTGGTTCTCAATTTTATTCAACCATCCTCATTCAAACTGCTCAACCCTGTGATCCAGTTTGATGGCTCTCCAACAGAGTTCGCTAGTTACATGTGGTCAAATTATTAATTGAACCTTTAATGTTTTCCCTTTTAATTGAAAACCTTTCCCTTTTCTAATTACCTATGGTTCCTATTCTTATTTCCTAATTCCTAACCTAATTATTAATGATGTGAAATGAATTAAACTAGCCTTCATTATTTTAATAATAAAATAATTGAGTAATCACTCCTATCTTAACCTATCTATATCTTGATTGTAACTGAGCATTTAACTATGTTACAGTTAACATTTCACCCGAGTAATAACCCTTGATAATTATATTGTTATACAATTTGTTATTGTATTTTAAAAATTCAGCTTATAAAATCACTGCTTCGCTCCACACACACAGGCTTCGAATATAATTCTTTCCAGCAACGGTATCAGTTACCTGACATCTGGGTTCGTCATAAAACGTGGGTATTCAGAAGATTATCCTTGACTTTGAATAAATTATTACAACCACATGGGATCTGGTTCAGTCGACAGATTAGTTTAAAGTTAAGTGTTTATCTAGGAAAACATAAACTTTGCCTATATATTTGTCAATTTCGGGTAACAGCAATAATAATCTTGAAGCTATAAAATTCGATACTTTTCTGACTTTCAAGTGATTTTTACCCTCGAACAGATTGGGTCGTACACATTTTAACTATCTATAAAAATAAAACTTTCTCCCACGAAAGATAAGCTTGAATTGAGATTATGAATTCACTATTGATTTTGTTCTGTAGTTTGTATGTAGACCTCGAAACAATAATCACTCATGACTAAACCCTCCAAGATACAACACCTGATCCCGACAATAAATACGTAGTAACGAGCGCACACACTCGCGAACTATGGGTCACGCTGATTATTTTTTTCGTCGTTCATTTTACAGTTATAATCACTACACGGCTCGGCATACTTTGGCAGTCCTGGATACAACGAACTGTTTGATTGTTCCTGGGGGCAGTAGCGTTAACTGACACTGGATTCAATTCAATCTTCTGGTCTTCTTCGTCATGATTTCTTCTTTGGTTGGCTAACTGATACAAATATGTATGAACCGAGGTATGAACTAAAAGATATCGTCGTCGTCGTGGATGGTTTACTGTTGCTTCTTTGATGGTGAATTAGTATTTGGTCAGGTGTTCCTTCTAACTAGTTATTTTCCAACTTGAAATTCACTGGAAGTAGTTGTTGACATTCTCGAAGTTGAAAAAATTTCGAAAATATCCCTGAAACACGTCAACTATAATTTGAATGGGAGTGAGTTTTTATGCAAGATTCACCTCTCCCCTTTCAACCCTCCCAGCCCCCAGAGCCACCTACTGAAAAATCTTAAATGGGAAGGGGGGTGGTAAGTTTTAAACACCCTGTATATTTCTTTACATGTCTCGGCACCATTTGGTCTATTTTCAATAATTCTTATATTGCTTTCTATATTTTCTTCAACGTTTACATTATTTTCTTCCGGTTCATAATTGTTTTCTGTACGTATTTCTTATTTATCGATGCTTCTATCAATACCCACCTTCATCATTCCTTTTATTTACTATTTTATTGTTATCTTTTCGTCAAATGTTCGTCTCTAGATAAAATTACCTTATCATTATCCAATTCCAAAGTCAAATATCCTCCTCCACATAGTACCTAATCATTTATTATGCAAAGTTTTGCTCGTCTTGTCAATAGTCTCAATTTAGATAAATCATTTTACTTTTATCATTCGGTACCTGGTGAATTACCTAGTACCTCCATTTGTACTTGCCGGGCAACGATTTTATTTAATTCGCAGGCTTAACATGGAATGGCTTGCCCCGAAAGTTTTCGCGGTAAATTGGTTTCATTGAATTTAAGAAATGAGAGTTGTTGGAAAATATTGTCATGGATTCCGGGTTCACTGAAACTAACTTCACGAAGAGTGACAATTTTTGTTGAACTAATTGACTTTATACAAAATTCTCCTATCACTTATCGGAAGATACACGACAAATATTGAATTAAAACTTACTTTAATCAATATATACCTACTACTAAGCGCTATTTAGAAAGTGTAGTCGGAATTTATCTAGAATAGCCTCTCTCTGGTGCCCTATTTGTCCGAAATGTTCACGTGACGCGCAGAAAATTGCATTCCAATTCTTAGAATCCGACCGGGCTCCCGAAGCAATTTCGTAACAATATATTTGGGAAAACAGAGGTGTTCAACCAAAGCTCCAAAAAACTGCTACCAAAGAACTCGTACTATGTGACTCTCAGCCTTCAAATGAGAACCTGGAAAACTACAATTAGTCAACACAGAGGTGCGATAGTTGGCTAGTGCAAGTCAAGCCCCCAGAATCATATTCATCAAAATTCTAGGAAACACTGCGGACAGTTTGATTATTGAAGAAAAATTTTCCTATCCAAACCCAAGGGTCCAAAGTACGTGGACGGTTGGAAAATGATTCTGGGAGCTGCGTTGGACTTGTACAACCACACCAAACTTACAATAAATAACTCGTCAGGGATACTTTGTTAAACTCACGAGAAATTATACCTATTCGAATAGTAAACCTCTGCCACAACACTATTTAAATCAACAAGGTCGATATCATAGCTACCTATGAGTCTGCCAAAGAGGTTTCAAAGTGTGAAGCTGAATTGAAGCAAGAAAGCAATTAAAACATCCAGCTTTTTTGTGAGAACAACGATATCTATGAGGGTAAAAATCGCGAAACTGGCAAGACAAACATCTCCAATTATGAAATCAATACTGGCAGTGCTCATTCGATCCGACAACCACCTAGAAGAGTTCCCGTGACGAAACAACAAGAAGTGATTGAAGTGAAGTCATTAGTAGACAGTATGCTTGCAGAGGGAGTTGTTGAAGAGTCTTCAAGTCCGTGATCATCGCCAATTGTACTAGTAACGAAGAAGGATGGATTTATCAGATTTTGCGTCGATTATAATAAGCTTAAGGATATCACTAAGAAAGGCAGCCACCCATTACCCAGACTTGACGATACCCTTTTCTACTTTTTATTTGAAAAGCGGATACTGGCAGGTGGGCATTGACGAAAAAGACAAAGAGAAAACAGCCTCCTCCACTGGAAGTGGTCTTTACCAATTCAAAGTAATGCCTTTTGGAATCTATAACGCTCCCGCTACTTTTCAGAGATTGATGGAAATCGTACTACGAGGATTTACGTAGAAAGTATACCTGCCTACCTGGATGATGTGTTGTGATGGGAAAATCTTTCGATGGCCAACTACGATACTTACAAGAAGTATCTACTCGTATTCGTAAGACAAACATCCGATTAAATGAAAAGAAATGTCCTCACTTCCAACAGCGTGTTGACAAATCTAAGCAATTCGTGACTGGCCTCGACCTCGAGACAAACAAATGAGAAGTTCGCCCTCAAAATTCCCCATTTTTGAATAATATGGCTGATCCGTAGATCCCACATACGCCGTATGCCGATCGTTTTTTCATGAATGTTTATGCAAAAGCCATTTGATTGGTATACTTGGCATACGACACCATCATTCCAAAACTCGTTTCTTTTTCAATAGTTAACAATTAACTTCTCCATCGCAAGTTCCGCTGTCACCCACTAATTTTGCTTGTACATTGACGAGCATATTATGCATAATTACCTAAACCTCAGGGAGCAGTCGTTATACTATCGTTGCACTTTTTGACAGTGGGCTTACGATTCTATAGTATTATCGTTTCATTTAATGATAATAGCAAATGGCAAACTTTACCGGAGTCATCAATTTCTCAATCAACACTTTCTAATTTCCTCAAAGTGATCTCTTAGTATGTCATTTCTTCTCAGTTTCATAGTTACAAGCGATCTACTAATAATGAAATAATAATTTCTTCCAGCACATACGAAAACGGTCTCAACGGTCAACCAGAAGAATATGCACCGGCAGCCAAACGACCAGCAGCTGGTATAACTCCGTTTCTCTTCAACCATCAGCAAAACTTATTTATGCCAAACATGAACGTCGCCAATTCACATCTTTTCGATTACCAGTCAACCAATCCGACAGGAATCAAAACTGAAGAGAACGCCGGAAGCCGAGGCGACGAAGAATGGAGGAACATCCATGTGATGCTCAATTGTATTTTGTCAATGGTGGAAAAAACTAAAAGGTAGGTACTTGGCTAACTTTAAAAAAACAAAAAATACCCAGTTTTTAATTTTTTATTTATATTTAGGGCCCTAACGATTCTACAACAAAGGAATATACCTAGCCAAGCAGATCCTACAGCGGAATGGTTGCGCAAGCAAGATCTTAGCCAAGATTTGAAGAAAGTTGCGAATGAAATTATTAGTTCGGCGATTAGGGCTGCTGAGGAACGTGTTTCTGAGGTAACAATTATTATTGCTTGATATATTGGGAGTGAATTGAAACATATGACAGAAACTTATTCTTTTTGTTGATTACCAGGTTCGAAGACGAGCAGAAGAAGCTGTATGTGACGTCAAACGACAAGCGGTTCTAGAGTTGCAAAGAGCTGTGGCTGCAGCTGAGGCTAGAGCAGGCGAATTTCTAGCTGCCGAAAGGGCTAGAGTTGAGAAAGCTTTAGGAGGTTTGTCATCACACAATTTTTCAATATTTTTATTAATCTTCTTATTTTTAGAAGTCAGAAAACATACTGAAGAAACCAGCACCAATCATTCCGAGTTTGGCGAAAGTGGCCAATCGCCATCGAGCCAACCAGCACCTTCGCAACAAAATGTAAGAGTTATTTATTATCACAAATAAATATACACATATTTTAATATAATAAAGAGAAAGTTGGGAAAGTTAAGGAAAATTGAAGGATTAAAAATTTTGGTCCGCCTCTTCAGCATTGCCGGTGCTACGCTCCAACCAACTAAGCCACCACGACCCTATAAGATCTTTTTGATTTTTGTTAAGGTGTTTTTAAAGGAAGTTGCGTGGTTCTCCGCACAGTAACAAAAATCAAAAAGATATATAGGGTCGTGGTGGCTTAGTTGGTTAGAGTGTAGCACCGGCAATGCTGGAGACGTGGGTTCGAATCTGGTCCAGGGCCAACATTTTTAATCCTTCAATTTTCCTTAACTTTCTCAACTTTCTCTTCATTATCAATTTCCACGCTTTTCAGTTATTGTAACCGACAAAACTTCATTCCTTTCAATATTTTAATCCATATTACCAAATTTAGGCTTGTTGGAACTGTGGCCGGAAAGCTCACGATACGTGCTCCGGATGTAGTCTGGCTCGGTACTGTGGGCCATTTTGCCAACACAAAGATTGGGAAAATCATCACCAGGTAAGAATTAGTTCCATTTGATAACTATAACTCATGTTATTGGTTTTTTTTCAAGGTTTGCAACAAAGAAAAAAGACCGGCTACAGCTACAACTCCAACGCCAGTTGCTGTAGTACCGGTACCAGCACCTTCAGCAGCGGACGCGAGAGTTAAAAAGTGACACGTAAAGAAGGCACGTAAATTTAGGAAATTTTATTGATAATTGTAACATAATATTCCCAAACACTTTTTACGATATTAAAGGGAAATTGATATAAATAGTTAGTACTCACGATTACGTCATCTGTCTTTTCACCTATTGATGTACTGATCTTAAATATTGTTCAGAGTCTGGTCGACTTATTGTCACTTTTTTCCGACGCAATATTTGGATGACCAGCTTTATAACTTGTACCTACAAAAACATTGGAAGTTTATATTTAAATAAGAATATTCACCATTCACCTAAAATTCAATTATTATTGAAAGTTTGGCACCAATTAAAAAAATAACTTAAACCTCATAATTTTTTGCGGCCAGGATAAGTTCTAATAGAAAATATTCTTAACTTTTCGTGTGGGATCGCAGTTGAAAATAAGTCCTCATTTTAAGTGACCCCAGATTTTTTTTCTACATCATCGGGAGGAAATTAATGTTTCTTTTTTCCAACAACCGTGTATTATTTGATTTTATTAATGTATACGCAATACACTTTTTAATTATATACCTAAGGTATAAATATTGCGATTTAATAATATACCTTTTACGTCGAATTTGTCTTGGCCAGTCTATAATTTTTCTTTTAAAAAACCTTCTGTAAAAATTGTTCGAGTGCGATTAATTAGTTATTCACCTATTATTTTTCTATATTTTTGTTAGGTTTTAATTCCTCTGTTAAACTGTAGATTTATTTATTGTGATTGAAAACTAAAATGCAATATAATACCTATGTAGATTTAATGTTTTGTTGATGTAAATAAATGTTTAAATATTTCAGTGACTTTATTTTGTTATTTTTTTTTTGAAATTCGTTATTTTTAATCTGCTCAAAATCAAAAACCCTACTCAAATTAGCTTTCAATCCTCTCAAAAATTCCTCAGGATCGTTGTTATACTATTCCTAGAAACGTGCTAAAAGTTTACATTGACAACAGCGGGATGGTATCAAAAGTTACAGAAGCTACAAATAACAATTTTCAACAAATATATCGCATTTTATATCTTAATTGAAACTGTAATGACTCCTGCTGTCTTTCCTCTCAAAAATTCAGAATCCAATCAATTTGACTGGAAAGACGATAAGTATGGAGACCAATAAGCCGATTAAAGCCAGTTGCGTGGAGATTTCTCGGAAATCGGAGAGCTGGAAGAAACAAATTATAATAGTGGATAAACGACCCAAAAATACGGGTTTGAGGTTGAAGTGTAGTTTGACAAAATCCAAAATCAGTTGAAATGTAGAATATAGTCCGATGAGGAGTAGATAGTCCACGAGACTACAGTCAGTGATGGAAAGCCACAAGATCAACGATAGGCATTATTGTATAACTGGTTAGGTATTACCTACTCACGTATTTCACGTCAAAAAAAAAAAAATCTGAAATAGATAGAATGAAAAACCTGCATCAGGAATTGTGGTCGTAGCTAAAATGTTATATCGTGGTTATACCTACGTGGTACACGCGCTTTACCGCATACAAATCTCTTGATCACAACGATCGAGAGATTTGTGAAATACTACATTGTGTCTACAACGGATTCAGAATAAAAACTAAAGAAATTAGTGTTAGGGGAACCCAGGGTAGAACGGGGTATTTAGTGTTTGAAATTTTTTTTGGAGAAAATTTACCCACAGATCCTCAAAATATTTCTTGGAAACTTTATTTGATGTTATTTCTAATGATTATTACAAAGATATTTCATTATTTCCTTTTCTGTATTTTGCTATTTATTTTTATAACAAAATCTGCACAATTTCCCGTTGTGCTCCACCTATGGGGTACATGTGACGCATAATAGAATAGTCGTTTAAAACTTAGTCAACAGTCTTTATTGACCACTAACTCTAACTTCTAGATGCTTCTAGCTGATGCATTGACTCCGAAGACCATTGTTGTTCCGTTTTTCTTGCGTATATTCGAACCATCTAGAAAAAATAATTTATTCAGGATATAATGGTTAAATGTTGTTAATACGAAGTAAGTTCTATAGCTACCATCTATAATGTATTTAAAACAGTTTAAAATTATTATTTATTATTAAAAATATTGTAGATACTGTTTTTTACCTCACATTAATGTCACATCTTATCTACGAGTCTACGACCGTAAGTCGTGGGAGTTTGAGAGTCTGGAATAGAAATAATAATATTTTTTCCCACAATTTTCTTCATTCGATTTTCCACTTTTTCTATAAGTGAAAGATCAAGTGAAATATTTTCATTGTTATCAGATGATGTCTTCCATGCTCTAGTACCTGCAACATGTTTTGGAAATGTTTTCCGCTCTTCTTCTCACGTTTGCCTATTAATTTTTGTTTAGGTATCTAGACTTTCAATTTTTCATTATATATTTTTTTATTCCAAATCTCTGAGCAGGGGCGGATGAGCCAACAGGAATTTTGGGAAGTTTCCCGAAGGACAGGGTGTTTCACGGACGTCGAAACAGAAGCGTTTTAAGGTATTTTAATGTTGATTTAAAAGAAAACGCTCGGACTCGTCATTTTAGTATTCAAGGGGAAAACTTTTTGACGCATTGGTCTGGAAAATGTTTAGGGAGGCCTATGTTCAACAGTGGACGTAGAGGGCTGGTTATGATGATGATGATGAGTGTTTAGAGATATGTTTGAAAGCACTATTTCTTGGTTCACAAAAGTCAAATTAGTTTTATTTTTGAAAGTAAGTCATTATTGCTTGAACAAAATACAGTTGTCTTGGATGAAATACCTATGTTAGTCTTGATATAATGTATCTGTATGATATCTACGTTCTCTTTTCAACAAAAGCTTATTTAAGAAACATTTTTGAATAATTTCCAACTTTTCCATTTAGGTCTCGAGTAGTCCACCCCACGCTTAAATTCCATACTGCTATCTTGACTGCACAAGTCCAAAATAAATTATTTTTAATTGATCTTTGTTTAAATATTTCGAAAGATATTTAAACCTATACAGAACAAATCTGAGATACCGATCTATCTAGACCCCAAGATATTCAATTTCCTCAACGGAATCTATTTTGTATGTTGTATCATCATCATTTTTTATAGAAAGTGTTGAAAAAGTCGGTGAAGATTTAGATGTATGTACAGGGTGATCTATTATAAATGTAACCCCCTGCTAACTTTTTCATTTTACGTTTTTGACAGAAGTGTCAAATGCAAAAGTTTCAAGAAATTGTCAAAAGTTTTTAACTGTCAGTTTTAGGCATACCTACAGGGTGCGTCAAAAAAGTGCAGCAGTGTGAAGTTATATTTTTTTAAATGGAACACCCTGTATATTGCGCGCCTATTTGTTAGTCCCCTTTAACCTGATTTCAACGATATATGGTTTGATATTGATGATTTGCGACATCCCTTCCGCAAGGCCAAAGATACAATCGAGCTACTCTAGATAGGTTTTATGTACTCTCAAATGACCACCGATAGTAGTATCACGACAAGAAGAAATTACTTCCCTAGGTTTTTTTTTACAGTGTGGATAATGTTACGGAACTTACGGTCGAATATTTTTTTTTTATTAACCCGGAATTTCCGAATTATTATTTTATTATTCGTCCGGAAAATAATACACCATGTACCCCTGCAATGACACAATCATTCTATGGTACCGTAGCGAGGAGGGTCAAATTAACTTTTTGACGTATTTTTTGCATCTCTATCCGATAGAATTTTTTTTTTTGGAATTCGATATTTGAATTTTTTCGACAAAATAAATTCAAAGGGTATACCTTCGATTTTTTTTTTTAAATTTTCAAACCGTCCTAACTCGAAAACGAAAAGCTTGGGAGAAAAACTTCAAATGCAAAACTTATAGATCTCGTCGAGTACTACAAAAAAGCCTATGAGAAGTATCCCTCCAGGGGGCACTGTTTTCGAGAAAATCGACCTCGAAAATTTTAACAAAATTACAAGAAATTTCAACTTTGACGGCCAATATCTCAAAGACAATAACGATCTGGAATCTCAATAAAAAATATTTTGTAGATAATTTCATCCTCTTTCAAGTGAGATATGACTCGAAACGATCGGTTAAGAAATAGCGGAGTTATAGGCGAAAAAGTGGTCTCGTGTCGGATAAATTTCCCAGTTATAACACCAGCTAGCTCAAAAATATAATGATAAAGAAAGTAGTACTTACTAAACATGGGTCTCTTGGACCTAGGCATTGTTCTCAGCAGAAGGAATCAATAAAAGTCAGGTTCATAAAAGTCTGGTTATAAGTGTACTGGACTACTAGTTAATAACAAAGCGCGCAAATCACGCTGTTTTTCTTTGTAAATTCAATACATGCAAGGACTAATACGCATTACGTGGACGGGTTAGTATGGGGGCTAGTTTGCATAGTTTTGGTTAGTTTCATTACAGTTCATTTAATACTGGATATAAGTGTACTGGACTACTGGTAAACTGGTACACAAGTAAAAAAACAATCCGGACGAATAATAATATAATAATAATCCGGAAATTCCGGGCTAATAAAAAAAAAAATTCAACCGGAAGATCCGGGTGATTAGGGACACCCTTTTTTTTAGGCACAAGTTTCCAAAAGTCATCATCAGTATGAAGTTTGGGAAAGTTAAAACCAACCTTTTTGTAAAGTTTCCCCTCAGAAACCCGCCAGGAAGGAAATGTTTGTTGGGAAGGAATTGTTTTCAACTCTTTTCAACATACCTGTGTACCATTTGTCTTTAACTTTACCAATATCAACCTCAGATATTTCAAGATCAATGCCGATAGCGTCAGGATTATCGTCCGGAGCAAGGGAAAGCGCATCAGGAACTACGTGTTCTTTACTATTCCGGTGTATTACCTCACTGTTGAAGCCCTATTAAACACCATCGACCCTGTGGATTTTTGAGATTTTGGAGCCATTTTAAGCTAAAATGATCAGTGATGACCGTAAATTTCGAATTTTCCAGATAACAACGTAATTTTTCAGCACTCCATATCAATGCAAGCATTTCTCTCTCTGTAGCACTGTAAACTTGTTCGGTACGACTTAAAGATCTTGAAACATAACAAGTAACATACTTACGGTTGTCACAAAATTGCGAAAAGACAGCACCAATGGCAAAAGAGGAGGCGCCAAACCATGCACAAAATCCAAGATTGGGGCCGAAATAAAAGTATTCTTAATGTTTTAAAAAGACCTGCTGCACTCTTCATCCCAGACAAATTTAATTCCTACCTTTTCGCAGGAGCTGAGTCAGAGGAGATATAATATCTGAAAATGATGGAATAAATTTCTGATAATATCATCACGAACATTCTTAGGAACCGTTAAATTGGTGATAGCTTCCACTTTAGGTGGATCTACCGAGCTTTCCTGTCAATTCACCAGATACCCCAAATATTTGAATTTTTCCCGACAAAACTTCCTCGTCTCACGATTCAACGTCAATCCATTGGAGTGTAAACGACGAAACACTTCCTTCAAGGTAGCGATATGCGAGTCAAAATCTGGCGTCACAACTATAATATCGTCGAGATAACAGAAGACGTAACTGTCAAGCTCAGGGCCTAGGATATTATCTTTGAAAAGTTGCAGGAGCGTTGTAAATCCCAAAGGGTAAATGAGTAAATTGAAAGAGGCCAAGACAAGGAGCTGTGAATGTCGTGTATTGTTTGCTTCCCTCTTCCAAGGCAACTTGCCAGTAGGCACTTTTCAAATCAAGGGAAGACATAAACCGAGCATCGCCCAATTTATCCAGAATTGTGGAAATGAATGGGTAATGGATACGCGTCACGCTCTAAAACCGAGTTCAAATTACTAAAGTCGACGCAAAAACTCTATTTACCATTCGCCTTAGGAACTAAGAGAACTGGAGATGACCACGTCGACTGAGATATCTCGACTATTCCGTCCTTCAGCATCTAATCCAATTGTTCATCGATGAGCCTTTGCTTGAACGGAGAGACTGGATAGTACCTCTGCTTAATGGGAGCACTAGATGTCACAATCTTATGTTTCACCGCCGAGGTTCAGCCCAACTTTTCGCCCACCCTTTCAAAATATCCAAAAACGGCCTCATTCAATCTCTGCACTTGTCTAGGACTTAGGGTTTTTTCATTATGGATGTAACTAATTTGTGGAGTACTCATAATTTCTGAGGAAGAAAAGCACTCTTCACGGCGCATATCCGAAACTATCCCCATTGTTCGCCAAAAACTAATTCCCAAAATGATCTCATGCCTAAGCCTAGGGACAACAAAAATATTGAATACTTTAACCACATCTCTAATCTGAATTGGGGCTGATATCACTCCAATGCACTCAGCGTTAATGATGGCTTACTTTTGTCCAAACTTTCATATATTTTTTCTGTTAAGTATGTTACTGCATCTTGCGTGGTTTTATTTTTCCTAAATGCAAACTGCCTTTATATATATGTAATAATAGCCACAGGTAGCTGCGAGACGAGGGTTGCAACTGAACTCCAAGCAGTGTTAGACTTCGTGTTTGATTGGGGTGAGAGAGAGAAAATTACGAAAAATCCTCACAAAATTACTAGGAGATGGTACCCCTAAATATTCGAGGAGAAATAGTACCATTTTCAATTGAAGCAAAGTATTTGGGGGTCATCCTGGACAAAACTCTAAAATGGCATGCTCATTTGAGAAAAGTGAGCCAAAAGGCAACACTGTCACTTTGGAACTGCAGCAGGATCTGTGGAAAGACCTGACATGTTTTTCAGATCAATGATAACCTTCAGTCCCTTCGAATCTGTAGTATGGTGGATCAAGGTGAATCAGACAATGGTTCAAGCAACACTCTTATCGGACTACAGAGAATGGCTTAGCTGGCGATAACGGGAGCGCTTCGCACCATATGCCCTCGGCAGCCATGGAAGTCCTCATAAATCTAAGTCCCTTTCACGTATATGTGAAGAGGGAGGCAATGAGGAAAACATATTAAAAAGCACTTTGGAGGGTGGAAGCATAGTGCATGGGGACGAAAGAAATGGACCTAATGTCAAAAATAAACAACTTCGGTTCGCCCTTCAAAACAATGATTCCCGACAGAGAATGACGGGCCGGCGATAGGACCGAGCTACTGAAGGTAGAAGGCAGACTTCTGCTTGTACACAGACGTTCCAAAACCAATCATGGAGTAGGAGCAGGGGTATGTTGTGAGACAATACTGGAAATTTCGACCAGCCTTGTGAAAAACGCATCTATATTCCAGGCAGAGTTCTAGCAGTATGGAAAAGCAAACAAGCCCTGAATCGGCTTGGGGAGAATAACAACGTTTTACTAGTCCGGATACCAGGACATACTGGAAAAGAAAGCAAAGATAAAGCAAATCAACTTGCAAAAGTTGGATTTGAGCTTAGCTCCATTCGACCGGCACCAGTATTGGAGATAGCACAAAATACGACTAACTACGCAATCTCGACCTGGGGCAATATAAAGGCCAAACAATACTGGAAGAGGTTAGTAAAGTTACCAGGTATGAACCATTCAAAATCCTTTGTACCCAGACACACTTCTGGAAATGGGCAGGAAATGCATCAAAGCCCTGGTGGGCCTGATGTACACTGCACATTGCAGACTTCGGCATTACATACACAGGATTGGAGTAGCACAAGATGTTGAGTGTCGCTTGTCCGTGAAAAACAGCCGAAAATGTCCTATGCACGTGTCCGGCAATAGCCAGAACCAGGTATAGGTACTGTATTCGGGGAGTCAGCTGTTTACCCGAATAGATAAAGCATGCTTTCCCTACGCTCATTTCCAGCTTGATCGAAAGGGCTGGACTGATGGGAGAAATATAAACTCGGAGTGTGGCCACAAAAGACCACAGGTGGCAGTGGAAAGAACCTCTTTGGACTACTCACAGAAAACCTAAACCTAAACCTACCTATCTATTAAATTATTAGGTATTTAAATTGGTAAATAAATATAGTTAAATTCTCCCTAAATTAGAAAAATCTGTCTTATTCTAGCCTAGGCCCTAAAACATTTTTGCTTAGATATATGTAGGTATGTACTGTACTCAAATATGCCTAAGTAAGGTTGAGAATATAATTTTCATTATTTTACACTACTAGAGTATAACGAGCTAATATATCAACAACTTTTAATGTCATTTTTTTTTTTAATTGTTGCGATAACTCTTTATCTTCTCAGTAATTATTATATTCGCAAAAAAACTGTCCTGGTGACAATATTAAAAAAAATAATTGCTAACATGCGTAGTATTTTTTTATTATTTAGCAAATGAGCTACCTAGCTAAAAAATGGCAAAGGAAAAGAGTTTTGTTCCGTTTGCCCTATTTTTGTTTCTTTGTTATGCGATACTTTGCTTCGGAGGTGAGTGACAATCAATTAATATATCTCCAATTAGTTCTCATTATTTTCCTAAGCTCCTACGACCGAGCAACCATCAGATATTTACGATATGAAAAAGTCAGAGCTAAAGAATCCACTGTCAACTAAAAACAGTGAGAATGGAAAATGGAATAATGTGTTCAGACCAATTTTGGGAGATACCTGTAAGTTAAAACAGTCAAAAACGGTTAAACTCAAATAATCAACTCCTTTATTGCAGTGAGTATCTCAAATATAATATTAGGCCCCATAAGAATGCTGATTATAATTATGATTGACCTTGCTGATCATTTGATACCACAAAGTAAAGGCAAAGACACGAATAGCTCCTATAGTGGTTTGGAGCAATTTAAAGCTGAAATTAAGGGTATTGTACCAGGTAAAGATAAGACAATCGTCTAAAACTTGCTTACTTTGAAACTTTTTCATAGGAACTAAATGGTGTGGTGCTGGAAATATCGCCTCTAACTCAGATGATTTAGGAGCAGATAGTGAAGTTGATTCATGTTGTAGAAATCACGATATGTGTTCGTTAAATATTCCAGCGCGATCTAGGAAATATGGTTTGAAAAATGGTGGACTATTTACTAGGTAGAAATTCAAAATGAAATGATATTTTCGATTTTCCACTTAATTTCCAGATCATCGTGTGACTGCGATGCCGAATTTTACAATTGCCTCAAAAATAAGCAGGAAAAACGGGCTGATCAAGTGGGGGTAACATATTTTAATACTCTTGGGCCACAATGTATCCAGAAGGTCGATTGCAGCGATCCTGAGTAAGAATTTCTTTTCTGTACATACTTATGCATATTGGGGTTTTTTATACAAAAAAAGTGGAAAATGTTATTTAGAGGGGGTCGAAAATTATTGGGAGAATTCGTGAAGGTACAACCCTGGTAAAAAATATAGTAGTCTTACCAGAGAACCTTCAATCATCTTACGCTTATGTACCTAGGAAAATGGAGCTTATTTGAGTTGAGTAATTTAAAATTAAAATACCTGAAACATAGATGAATATGTTGCAGATATTAGCGTTAATTTCATAGAATCAGCTATTTTTAATCTAATTTATTTTCAGGAAAAAATGTAGAAGACGCCAGAGAAAAGGAACCCAATATCAATGGTCAGACAATCCGAAATATTAATCAATACCTACGTGTACTTATTGTAAAAAAAAAAAACGTTTAATTAAAATTGAATAATTTGCAATGTTTTTCTGTATCATTAAAAATCTGCATACCTACACACGTGTCATCAAAATATCTAATAAAAATGTTGGATAATAGAAAAATCTCCCGATATGTAAATTTTTGAAATGAAAATTTTGCTTTAATTTCCATCTACATCAATCAAAAGCTAATATTTTTTCCACGACAAGACGCATTAATTATAGTAATCCAAGGAAAACCGACGTTTTCACTTATCACGCAATAAAAATTAAACTATTTAAGAGATCCTTAATTATCCAATTTCAACAAGTGATTTTAAATTTCACATAGGTGCAACTATTCAAAAGAAGATTTGTATGAATAAATTTTGAATACGTACATAAAACCTTTTTTCAAAAAACATAGTTCAATATGAAGGTTCCTGTATGGTTCACTCAAGATCTCTTCCAAAACGCACTAAGATCATTTTTCCAAAACCCAGACATACAAGTGAACAATTTGTCCACTCAAGATGCCATTCCTGCTGGTGAAAACTATACAAGTGACCTGTTTAGGACCAAAATAGGTTATAGATGTGGAAAAAGGTAAGTATAAACCTTTTAAGAAAACACCCTGAACTATTTTTTTTTCAGTGGTAGTAATGATACAATGTCTGTCATAGTAAAATGCGGAAACGAAGACGGAGGAGTGAAAGAAGATTTGGCAAAAACATTGAATCTCTTCGAAAAAGAAGCTGAAATGTTTGGGAAAACTTTTCCTGCAATGTACGAAATACTAGGAGAATTTTACACGTTGTCTTCCAAATGTCTCTACACTTCTCTGACGCCACATTCGATTATAGTACTAGAGGATTTGACTACTTTGGGATTTAATGTACTGCCAAGACATATTGGGTTCGATTTGGAACATTGTTTTTTGGTAGTGGAAAAAATGGCACAGATGCACGCGGCATCGGTAATTATGTATGAAAATGTAGGTTTAAAAAGTATAAGTAATAAGTATTTAATGAGCTATGACTATATCTTACTTACCTAATGAGCAACTTAATTGCGAAACAAGCATAATTCAAGTCGTAGAAAAACAGAATAAATATTTTTTCTAGGATCCTTCCAAAGTAAAATTATACGCTGAAGGTCTCTATGGAAATAATCCTTTGACTCATGACTGGGTAGCAGCGGGATATAAAGGCCTTATAGACGCTTGTTCTAGGTGGCCAGGTAATCAATATCAACTATTTGCACATGTTTTTCCTAAAAAAGTTTGTAGGTTTTGAGAAATATGGCTACAAATTACAAGCTTTGGGCGAGGAAGCTTTGGAAAGAGGTTTCTATGCTCAAAAACGTAGGCTAGGAGGATTTAACGTGCTCAATCATGGTGATCTTTGGGTCAATAATATGATGTTTTCGTATTTTCCTGATGGCAAATTAAAAGACATGCGATTTGTGAGTACATTTACCTATAGATTCCAATACTGAAAAAAAAAAATGTTTTAGATTGATTTCCAAATGAACATCTTCACAAGTCCGGCTATAGATCTTCACTATTTCATAGCGACAAGTACTAAAATCGAAGTGAAAATGGACCATATCGAGATTATTTTAGATCACTATTATGCCCAATTAATAGCTAATTTGGCCAAGATGCAATATTCCTTAGAACGAGTGCCTACTAGAGAACAATTTAAAAAGGATTACAATAGCAGAGCCTTCTATGGTAGTCCAAATTAGAAGTGACTTTGATAACTCATAGCTAATGCGTAATTTTTTAGGGTTGATGGGTGCGGCTACGGTTTTAGCCTTCGTAAAAGCAGCTGAAGGTAGAACGGATGCTTCATTCGAAAACATTATAAAAGATGAAAGTAAAGAAGGCTTCAGGTATCATGCTTATAATAATGACAGATACAGGAAGCATATGGAGCATTTGTTGCCTTATTATGATAGTTTTGGGATATTAGATTGAGATTTTGATATCTGTTCTAGTTTGTTTTATGTTATAGCTGATGATAATAAAAATTTGATTCCAGTATAGGTAGTATGAAGTTTACACAAAAAACTCTAAAGTACGTTTTTTTTTTAAAGATAAAAGTCAAAATGACATTATGTTGGCAATACAATGTAAAATTGTCAATGCTTTCAATTTTTTTATGTAGAAAAGGCTTGTGTTGCCAACATAGTCACTAGATTTTTGACTTGGGGAATTATCTTTAAAAAAAAACGCACTTTAGCTCTTGATATTTTTCAACAATTCTAATTTTCCACATTTTGTATGATTTAGGCATAATTCAAGTCTCTATATACTTTAATCCAATTGGCGTTGCACAAATTCAATTCAATACCTACTCTATTTTTTCTTATCTGACTAAAGTTCGTTTTTTTTTTAAAGATAATTCCCCAAGTCAAAAATTTAGTAGCTTTGTTGGCAACACAAGCCTTTTCTACATACAAAATTTGAACGCATTGACAATTTTACATTGTATTGCCAACATAATGTCATTTTGACTTTTATCTTTAAAAAAAAAAACGCACTTTATGTACTTTTTGTGTCACAGAGTTCACTTTATCAGGACTGACTACTGAGTCATATAAGAGTGGCGTAAGAGGTTTGGGTAGAGTTGAAAGATTTCTCTTCTATAAGAGGGACGATCATAACCAAACCCAAGAACTTGCATCTATGTCGAGAGATGGATCGAGACCTATCTAATAGCAAATTTCTGCTCTAGAGACAATGGTAGCGGTAGAGCTATGCCTCGAGGACCGCGAATAGGGGAAGGCAGATCAGTAGTGGTTTGCTTAAGGTTTGCGCGGCCTATCTGCCTTAAAACTCGATAGATGATCCCGGGAGCTCATCGATTTGGTGGAGTACTATGACTCACAAAGTACTCTAGGCCCACCGCTGATTGTCAGATGTAATCTTTCGAGCTTTCAGTAAATCCGAACAAGACCGAAGTAGTACCATTTACAAAGCGAAGAAACGTGAGCTTGAAAGAGATCACGCTCTTTGTATCGAGACTTGCTCCATCCGGTTTGGTCAAATATCTTGGAGTCATCATTAACTCCAGGCTGACCTAGATCACGTCAACAGGGTCGTCCAGAGAGCCACTGCTAGACTTTGAGCCTGATAAGTAAACCCAATCCAGTCGTTTTCTCTCAAATTAAATCTTCAATTAACCTTAGATCGACCATGACAAACCCTACCCAACTGAATCTGAACACAAACTGCGCTACGCAATCTTCAAAGAGAACCTTACCAGACTTTGCGTTAACAAAATCAGAGAGTACAATGCCAAGTACGACGCCGGCTTGATATGCTGGTACTTGACAGTCAACTAATTTTCTGACATGACTTCAGAAGAATTTGTGGCTTATTTGAATGCAGTACCATATATTCAATAAGACTGAATCTGGGTTGAGGAAATTGCACGTTCCAACTTTGAATATTCCCGACCGCATTGATTGGAGAGAGAGGGACGGCAGGGACGCGGTCACTGCAGTTAGGAACCAGGGAGATTTCGGATCATGTTGAGGTTCACCCCCTCTTCTTTTTTGTTGAAGTTGTTGTGGTGTTTCTGTATCTCTATGGCTTCTCTGTGGAGTCTGGGTGTAAAAATGTTTGGTTCTATCCAATGCTTGAGTCTGGTCGAAACGAATGACATGGTTTGTTTATGTTAGCACGTGTTCGGCGATTGCTGATCTATTTGTCCCTGCTGACAGTTCCTTTTGTGCTCTTTGACCCTGGTGTTCATAGAGCATTTGGTTGTTCCTACATTGACAGATCCACAAGAGCAGGGAATTCTATAGACGTCAGCCGTTTCAAGAGGTGCCCTAGGATCCTTGGCCGATCTTAGAATTTGCTGAATTGTTCTTGTGGGCTTGTAGATAGGCTTAATGTTGTGTCTCTCTAGCGTTCGTCCTATACGATCTGTGACATTTTTGATGTAGGGAAGAAAGGCTCTCCCTGCCACCTGTGCTGGTTCCTTGTTATTTGTGCGCTATTGCTCCGGTCTTATAGCTCCATTTATCTCCTGCTTGGAGTACCCATTTCCTTCAAGTGCTGATTTTAGGTGTTGCATCTCGTCCTGAAGGTATCTGGGTTCACAAATCCGGATTGCCCTGTCAGATAGAGTTTTAATGACTCCTCTTTCCTCAGGATACAGTTTACGATCAGGGCCGGATTTAGGCACAGGCAACCGAGGCAACCGCCTAGGGCGCCACGATTAGGGGCGCCAGATTGCAAACAAATTTATCTCGAGTGAACAAGTAAAAAAAAAAAGTTTTATGCCACAAGGATAATAGGAAGATAATAAAAGATCCAACAACATTGTCCGGTAATAGTTAATTTACGTGTTATCAGTGTCACCTGTCACCGCTCATCATCAAGCCACTTCCGATCATCTTGTCTTAAAACAGATTGAACGGACTTTCGCACTAAGAATTGAAAAAAAAAAAATGTTATAGCCTTTGCTTCAACCATTGAACACACTCGAGGGTGACAACATGTTCGATGGTGTAGATTATATATCTGTTCTCACAGAAATCACAAACCAGAGCGTTTTTGATTGGTGCAACTCGCCAACAATCTATCAACGAACTCATCTGTGACTTTGCAAGACGTAAAGCCAGACGGATTCATTTTTAGTGTTGATAATTATGACAGTTTGCGAAGTGACACTTTTTTTCCCAGGTATTGATTTTTTAACGTTCCCATGACGCCGTGCGCGAACTAGCTATTTCGCGCACGTGTGCGCGAAATAGCTAGTTCGCACACTGGGTGTCATGGTGACACATACCTGTCAGGAAATCAAAAATAATTAAAATTCACCTACTTTTGATTGAAAATGCAATTTTGGCTTCGAATGATTGATATTTAAATGGAGTTGTAGAAAAAATATTGTTTGCAACTCGGGCGCGAAATATTTTGGTGATCGAGATCTGATTTTTTTAACGAGGCGCAGCCGAGTTAAAAAAATAGTCGAGCATTTCGCGCCCTTGATACAAAAATAACTATTTGTGTTTAGTTAATTTGAAAAATACATTTACATATAATGTATCTACTGTATAGATTTATTTTCACAGACATCACATAGGTACCTAATACCTATCAGAGCGAATTTCATTGGTTGTGAACTATCAGAAAACTGGTTTCTAGCGATTTGCATTGGTTTATGATTTCTGTGCAGGGACGCAAGTATAGGGGGGAATGGGGGGGAGGTCGTCCCCCCAACCAGTTCAACCAGTTGGGATATCGGGTACAAGTTGGGAGAATCGGTACACTTGAAAACATAAATATTCACGGGGAAAATGAAAAAATATTACAAAAAATTATAAAAATATGAAAAACAGCTTGAAAAAACGCTACTTGGCAGGGGCGTAGCCACTGGACGGATTTTGGGGGTTAAAGAAAGTATAATTAGAAACCACTTCTGGAAATTATCAGAAATTAAAAATTATAATACATATATTTACTAACAATCTCAGAAAAATAGATGCTTTTGACTTTAATTTTTTTAGTAAACATGGTGATTTTACCAGTAGCGTTCCCAAAGGGGGGCGAGGGGTTCGTGCGTTTCCCAAATTGACTCACTTACAACGAAGTTTTTTTACCTAAAATGTGAAGTCACGAAGGACATACTGGGACATTACTAAAAACTTTAGAAATTTACCTTACGAATACCTACGAAACCTATGTTTTAGCATATAGGTACATAAAGCATTTGACCTCGAAATTCTACAAAATTTTCACCTGCGGCGCAATTTTTTTCCTGACACCCCTATGGTCATGCAATGTTTCTCAATTTCAATAACAAAAAACCCCCCTTTTCTGAATTTTCTGGCTACGCGCCTGCTAGATGGGATTTTTGAGAAAGACCAGTTGGGAGATTTTACTTACGCCACCCCCCCAATAATAAGCCTTCGGAACGTCCCTATTTCTGTGAAAACAGACCTCATGTAATAAGTGAATATTTATATGATATACTTATTTGAAAAAAAGAAGTTCCTTTTTTGTCTTATTCTCCTAGTCTCTAAACGATAGCCTAAAATTCATTGTTTATCATATTGATCTTCAACCATTTTGACAATACAATTTGAGAAGGGGGGGCGCCAGAATTGAACTTTGCCTCGGCATAAAATAGCTATTCGACTGGCCCTGTTTACGATGGAAGTTGAGGACAACAAAATTGCATTCCTCGACGTCCTTTTAGAAAGATTACCCTCAGGTAAACTGGGACACAGAGTATATAGAAAGCCGATGTATACGGACAGACACCTCAACAAGGAATCCAATCACCATCCTAGGCAAAAGAGAGGAGCCATTAAAACTCTATCTGACAGGGTAATCGGGATTTGTGAGCCCAGATACCTTCAGGACGAGATGCAACACCTAAAATCAGCACTTGAAGGAAATAAGGAAATAGGTACTCCAATCAGGAGATAAATAGAGCTATAAGACCGAATCAGCCGCGCACAAATAACAAGGAACCAGCCCAGGTGGCAGGGAGAACAACATTAAGCCTATCTACAAGCCCACAAGAACAATTCAGCAAAGTCTAAAATCGGCCAAGGATCCTAGGGCACCTCTTGAAACGGCTGGCGTCTATAGAATTCCCTGCTCTTGCGGATCTGTCTATGTAGGAACAACCAAACGCTTTATCAACACCAGGGTCAAAGAGCACAAAAGGAACTGTCAGCAGGGACAAATAGATAGATCAGCAATCGCTGAACACGTGCTAACACAAACAAACCATGTCATTCGTTTCGACCAGACTCAAGCATTGGGTAGAACCAATGACCTATTAACACAGATAGACAGAACATCCCAATGATAAAATAGCTTTGTTTTGGTTGACTACATGTTTATGGGCCAGGGGGGTGAGCTGTGAGAGCGGCTAGGAGTAGGGATTCAAATGATTCCGCTAACTCCGCCCCCATTTTACTATCGCATACTTGGCAACTCTGAAAATG